AGGCTTATAGAAAATACAGTTCTAAAATATACGGGGGAAACCTCAAGACACACACACTAATGCTATCCAGTTCTTATGTGAGTTAAGAAAAACAGGTAGAGACATACCTTTGTGTTTGTGTGTGTGTGTGTGTGTGTGTAGTGACAGAGTGCATGTCAGTCACAAAGACAAAGAGGCCGCACACTCGGTTTGACAGTGACAGACAGACAGATGGACAGACAGGAGTGTGTGTGTGTGTGTGGCAGTGAATGTGCAGGAGCGGACGTCTGCCACACTACCAGCTGGAAAACGTCAGTTTCCTCGAATTGCTGTCACAGCACTGCATCTCCGTATGTGTGTGTATGTGCGTGTGTGTATATGCAACTGACTGTTTGCATATTTGAACGTGAGGAGAGCTCTGACAGACAGCGAGGCAGAGTGGGGAAGGTAGACAGAGCCACGCAACAGATCATGTCATTTCTGTCAGAACTTTGTGTTAGCTGCTACGTGTGATTTTAATGAAGAGTTGGGTTTTATTTCCAGTGTGTTTCTCCCTCGTTGTCCACTGGGTGTGGTTATCTTGGAGTCACTATAAAACTGAATCATGGGCCTCTCTGTGCATGTATGTGTACTCGTCTCTTGTTTGTGGGTTAGCATGTTTTCGTCTACATATGCATGCACACTCATATCAGTGCATATCTATTTATGCGTGCTGACTATTTGTATTTGCGTGTGCATGCATTTCAGGTCTATGTGTGTGGGTGTATATAGCCCGTAGCTAGCTGCAGTGTGTATTGAGGGCAGTACATCAGGGTAAGGCAATCTGCCTCTGAACAGCTCCTTCAGGTGAGATTTATCACCACTGCACTTGGCCTCTTATTATGGCGATGGATTCCCTACCTCTGTATCTGGCCGTGCACGTGTGAGTGCATGAGTGTGTGCGTGTGTGTGTTTTCTTAGCCCCCCCCCAGTCTGCATCCTTATTAAAGTGCTGCAGAGGAAAGCAGCCATTGGTTTGTGTTGACTCCACCTTCGACAACTCCTGATAGTGATCCACTGGCATAGACACTGGGAATAATGTAAACGGAGAGTGACAAGAGAAAACAAATAATTCTGTGGAGAAGAGAGAAGGGATTTGGGTTTATTAATTCCCTCCATCGCCCACCACACCTTTTGCATTTGGACTACAAGTTGCAACCAAACAAGACTACAGATTCCAAATTTCCTGGCTGGAAGTCACGTAAGGTCCCAAAGCAGTGGAGCTGACTGACAGTCAGTTAGGTAGCACTGGAGAAATAGGTCATAGAGCTAAAAATACTTATCTATGTCTCTCTCTTTCTCTCGGTCTCTCTCTATCCTGTCTTCTCCGGGAAAAAAAGACAAAGTAAAACACATAGAAAGTCTAAATAAGGGGATGATGAAAAGAATAACTCTAAAAAAGAAATACCCTTAAAAACATCAGACCCCAGGCTTACTCCCATACGAATAAAGAAAAAAAACTGAAAGCAAGAAAGGGAATTAGAGAGTGCCACTGCGTGTGTTTCCCAATGTGTGCGAGTGCATGTGTTTGTGTGTCCCTATCTACACGGGTGATACCGCACAAATGAGCGAGTGAGGGAATGAAAGGGAAAGATTGAAAGAGGAAGAAAGATCTAGAAATGGATGCTCAGGCTGTGGTTTCAACCATCACGTGGGGCTGTTTGCGCACAGAGCTGGTTATTACATGGAACTCATTTAGCTCGGCTCAGTCAAGCAGGGCAGAAATAATATTATATAGGCCCTTCCACAACTGCTGCCAATACCACAGCACACTATTATCTACATCTCCCCCTCCAACCAGCACAAGGAAGTAATATTGCTGAAATATATATGCCACATCAACTGCCATTTTGAGAAATTCATACACCTGCACCTTTAAAATTAGTTAAATTCCTACTTTTAATTGAATTGAATTGCACTTGTTGCTAAAATGCTCATATCATCATCATTTACGTGCAATGCAACCATTCCACCAAGATCTTCATATCTTCTTTGTAACCAACATGGTAACAAAAGGAAAGATAGAATCATTTGGTATGAACAGTGGACTGTTCTGCCAGTAGATAGTCCAAATCTACAGTAAATCCCTCTAAAGGAACTCTTAGGAATAAGCTATCCAACAAGATTAAAGGGGGATCTGACAAAATGCATTGAGAAATTCCTTCAGTATTTTTTGCTGAATATTAAAGTGGTGACATGCCTTGACTCAGAATGCAAAGAACCATCATGGCGGAGTGAGGAGAGTGGTGGGGGGTGGGGGTTGAGGGTAGGCGACTTGGAGGGCTCAGATGGTCTGAGGCCGAAAAAAAAAGAAGGAAGGAAAATGGCATAGAGAGGGCGAGCGAGAAAGAGAGGAAATGGCTGAACAAAACAAAAGGGAGATGGCGAGGAAGAGTGATGGATGGAGAAAGTGATGAAGGAGACGGGGCAGTGGGGTGATAGGAGGACAGGCAGGAAGGAAATACGAGGGAGAGGGATGTAGGAGAGGAGAAGGAGAGATTAAACTAGTCTCTAATCCAGGCGAGAGATAGACGGAGAGGGCTGGTGGGGAAATGCCCAGTAGATTGGAGCTAACTGCTCTCCTCCACTGATTTGCCTTTGCACACGAATGAACCCTCCACTGTACTTCCACGCACGCACACACATCATCTGGCTATCGCACTACATTGTACACAGCAAGTCTCGGCTGGGTGATGGGCAACAATTGCAAATTCTTCCCACAGAATTTACATCCACTCAATTCATTATAATTTCCTGCTGAGATTCAACTAAGTTTAAGGACATTTAGGGACACAACAGGCATTGTCACCGGCACACAGCCAACCAGCCTATTAGGCCCAACACTGAACCAAATTTCGCTAGTTGTTTGGCCCATTTTACTGGATAGGCCTCTAATTTGTAAGCCTCTAATAGCAAGTTTGTTTGTAGACATGCTAATTACCAGGGCTTGTTTAAAAGCCGATCGCAGTGTGGTAACTGGAACGTAGTTAAACTCATACTGCGTAACGATGGCATTTATACAGTTGGTGAGATGTTAAAGGCAGCGTTGATTGCTGTGGCCTTGTGTAATAAATACATGCAGCTTCATTATTGCACATAGAGTCAGATGCTGAAGTGGAGACAGTGTGCCAGCATCCCTGCAGGTCTCAATCTGGCTGACAACTTTGCCACTTTGTTCTAGTGTCTTCTTTTTCTGATTTCATCCAACTTTAAGCATCTTAAAATCAATGTAAGACCAGCACTGGAAAGTGGGCGCTAGTTCATTAGTTGCTTGCCCTGAGCCTCTTTTTTTTAACCATTTACTTCCTGCTCCCTTTATGTTTTCCCTGTTCTATTCTCCTAACGCTACCACAACCTCGTCCCCCTCTCTGTCCTGGTACCACATCAGTATATATATTCCATGCAAATCAGTCGATTTAATCCCCTTGACATGGTGTCAGTCGGGGCCTCTGGGAGCAATCTGGCCACACTTTGGCTTTGCTTGGACGAGCTTGCCATAGAGGGGAGGAGGAAGAGGAGGAAAGGAAAGGAGAGGAGGCTCTGAGCACAAAAGGTCCCACATTACAGCCTCCATCCAGTCCACCTGTCCTCCTGTGCCATCCTCACATAACATTACTGGACACCAGCTCATTAGAACGGAATTAAACCTTGCAATAATTCATCTTTCTTTTCCTTTCTTTATTATCAAGGTGTGTGCTGTGGTATGAGTAAAATGCATTTGGCCAACACACTAAAATAGCATCACAGTCAATCAGGGCAGCACACAGTTGCCCAATCAGTACCATTCCAGTTTCCTCTCTCCTGTGAAGGGCTCTTCAAAGCAGGCACGTACAGGGCAGTCGTTCATGGAATTGCGCGAAATGTCGCCTGTGTCTGCATCTCAGAGAGGCTGACAGACAGACAGACAGACAGACAGGCAGGCAGGCAGGCTGTATCCCTGCTCAGGTGAAACCTGTGCAGCATCCGATGTGCGCCCCTGTTTTTGCGTGACTTTTCTTTGTTTCAAACTGCCCAAGCTGGGTCTTTTGTGTGCTCAAACACTCCTCGGTTGTACGTTTATATTGGAGCTATTGTGGCGGGGGGGGGGTGGTGGTTGTGGTGGGGGGGATCACTGTAAGTACCCGCTGACAGACGCACATCAGCCACCTTTTTGGCCGGGAGCCCAGGCGGGCAGCAGGCGTCTGCATTCCGCTGAAACCAGTCTGAGAAAAACACAAAAAAGACCCCCAAAAAAAGCCAGCACAAAGGGGATCATTACAGGAGAAACTTCACGGGAATTTCACCCGTTTAAAGACCCATTGGTGGAAATAAATGCCCGTTCAGATGCACGTTAAGTGTTAAGCGGTACAGATTTTATTATAGGCGCTGAAGATGAAAGCAAGTCTTTGAGTTGAAGCCGTATACACCAGCGTATTTACCTCAGACTGTATATTTCCTACAGGTCCGGCTGTAAAGGTAACGCTGCAGCCTAAAAGCCGAGCAGGCAGCTTCATCCTGCCTACCTGTTTACCCCCTCTCTGTCCAAAAAATGTGCACACAGGTACTGTAAAGCCATCTAAGCCCCCTTGCCTCCGGGCCAGCCTGCTACTCCAGCCTGGCTTTGACCGTGATCTTGGCTGGCTACACTGGCAAGGGACATACCGGGTCACCCAAATCTACCTCCAGCATTCCTCCATATCCCTGCACACACGCTGCTGTTGGCTCAGGGAAATGATTCTATGAATTGCATCGGAGCGCACAATAATAATCCTCCTCACGCCAAAGAAACACAGAACCTCCCGCCAGCTTCAAATATAACTTTTCTTTAGGGCTTATTCGCCTCCGCTGACATTATCGGTATCGGTGCTGTATGCATTGCATGTATAGATGTATTGGTAATCATGCTGAGAAATATCAGGGAATTTATGAGGCTCTTAAATTGCACTGACAGCATGCACACATACAAGAAAAGCGCAAACGCTCAGGAAATGTGTTGTACTTACGATTTGAGGGGGTTCTGTACCGCTGTGGCCATTTTGATATAGTATGATAGAATGCAACACTGCAGAGCCCGGTATTGTACATGTAATGTAGCAGCTATTTCAATTTCATTCATTCTCTGGGGCTGCGGCTGGAGCGAGCAGCCAATGGGAGGCGGGAGCGCTCTGTGACAGCTTTGGGGAAGTGTAGTTTTTTACGCATGTCAACATGAGACATGCCGAGGAGGAGCGCACTACAAATACCAGCGGGGAGAGCGGTTTCAGTGGACCACGGTCCCGCCTCGGACTTGTAAGGGCAAAGCCATCCCCCAGTTCCGAATTTATATATTTTTTTAAAAAACCGTCTCCAGTTATGTGGAGGTTGGGTTGCAGGACTGTCTGTCAGTCTGAGTGTGCCAGTTTCTCTCATGCATTGTTGTCTTCTCTGCATGATGAGGATGGGCTGGAGTCTGCACTGGCTGGTCCCAAAATTGCATCACATCATGGAAGTGGCAACTTGATGGATACATTTCATACTGAAGGCTGGCGGTGAATGGGTTTCAAAGAGAAAATAATATCAAGAAATCACTCATAATTATTTTTTTCTTTGCAAAGGGACACCAAGTGGGTATGGGTGTAACATTTAGTGAGGCATACAGACCAGGTATCACCTTACCAGTTTGCTTATTATACAGAACTAGTGTTGAAGATCAAAAAAACAATACATTTTCATAAAAGCATGATGTAATTTTCCCTACAACATTCAGACAACATATAAAGGTGGTCAACTTTATTCTACTAAAGAAAAGTTGAATAACATTTTTATAATGGATTACAGGCTATTACCCCTCTGTGACATCTATTTAGGGCAAATTAAGAGACGCTGTGTCTACATAACCTCACATCATGGTGGCACGTTGATAGGCCCATGGTTAATCTTATATTATCTATGCTAGGTAGCCCTGCACTGAGCAGCTTTAATTATTCATTAATCAGGGGCGATGGGTTGGGAGTAGGCCTATAATTGATTCTTTCAGACATTTGTCTCTCATGGTTGAGCTCAGAAAAAGGCTGGGACCCTCTCCAATCTCCTCACTCCTCCACCCTTCCTTCCTTACCTCCTTCCTTCCTTAATTCCTTCTTTAATTCCCTCCCATCTGCTTTCTCTTCCTGCTTGCATACTTTCTGTGTCTTGTGTCATTATTTTGAATGTGTTGCACTAGACCAAGTCTTATTTGAACTATTATGAACTTCCGACCAATATTAATTTAATAATTTGGGAAGGAAGGAAGGGAGAAAGGAAGGAAGGAAAGAAGGAAGGAAAGAAGGAAGGATGGAGCTCAGCTAAGACTGTTAGAGAAGCAATGCTGGAATTTCTTTCTCCATGTCATGTTAGCAGCAGTGGCGCCGCTCTGAAGCCATTCAGTGACATGTGATATTTATAGATCTGTGCTAACAAATATTTAATGAACATTAGCAAGCAGCTCTAACATGGCAGCACTGCTCCAATAAAACACTCTGCCAGTTTAATGGAAACTTTAAATCATTGTGTATTAACTTTATTATGAATTACTTGGAGTAAACAAATATATACTATATACTGTATATGTTGGGGGGGTAAAACATTTTTTCCAGCTTTACTCAGTAGAACAAATATATGGACTTTTGTTTCGTTTGCAATGATTGGTCTAAGCTTTAAAAGTCTTCTACAGAATCCACACAGAATGTATGGGTCTGTGAGTTCATCATATCATCTAGTTTTATGCTTTCTTATCCTCTGATATCGGAAGTTTGTGAAGTGGCAGGCCCGGTGTCATCCTACACTTTGACCACAGGGTGGTGCTGACGTACCGGACAAGACGCCGACCAAACGTACCAATAACAATGCGTCTTACGTCACTGCCTGCGTGCTCCCTGGCTCCTCCCGCAGCGTCAGTCGTACACGCGCTGATGTTGTGATTGACGGACCAACAGAAGTCATGTTGAACTTTCGTTTCGCTTTTCGCCAGCGCAAACATGTTTTAAGTAATTAAACCACGATGTCCGACACACTGATGAAAGAAATGGAGAGTATATCGATGACTCCGGTGAAGGCAGAGCAGCGCACAGACGGTGTCTCGAGCTTCCTGTTGGTGGATGAGCAAGAAAACCTGCAGGTAAAGTTAGCTAGTGGCTGCTAGCATGTAGCTGCTGGGCTAAGAAGGGCAGGACAACACACAGTCTGATGAAGGCCACTAAAATATAATATATAATATAATAATATATAATATACTGTCTGTTGTCACTGTGCTGACACATTAGCGCTGTTAGCTCTGTTATTCTTTCTAACTCGAAGACGGGAGCTTGGATTCATCTCCTCTCACGATTTGTTTATGAAACAATAAACAGCTTTTACCCGTCACACCCGTCGTGTTTAGCCTGTAGATATGTTTTTGCTAACACGAGCTCATCTTGACACCTCGAAGAATTAAAATAATAAAATACTTTACAGTAACCGTGGTCGGCAGAAGAGCCTCAGATGTGTTTCTTATTGGGAAAGTCCCTGATGAGTCACACAGCCCAGCTGACCCACAGGGAGGGCTCCTCTCGCTGTGTTACAGCAGTACAAAGTGCAGGCGGTACGGATTATTTTCCCATTGGTCTGCGATGTATGTTCAGCTAATTTTTGTCCTAGGACAGTTGAAAGCTCAGCAGCACGTTGTTAATTTATACAGCCTTTATTTCAAAGATGTTTTTTTCCTGGACTGGTTGTTAATAGTGTCAGATAACAGACCTCAGATAACCCAGTTCTTTAGTTTGTGTTCTCCTTGTCATCCAGAACTAAATTGTTCACACAAATTCAATAAGTTTTCCCCTTGATTCAATGAAGTCAGCAGGGGAGCTGATGATATCAAGTTAAGACAGGCCAGCAATCCATCCTCTGTAATCTGCTTCCAGGTCCGCGATGAGTCTGAGTTTGTGGAGAAACTCCGCTGTGGGGACGTGGCCGGAGTCAAGGTCCTGTCCATCTTTGGCAACACCGGTGATGGCAAGTCCCACACCCTCAACCACATCCTGTTCGGTGGTAAGAGTGTGTTCTACACGTCCAAGTCCCCCAGCTCCTGTACGGTGGGGGTGTGGGCCGCGTACGACCCCACCCTCAGCCTGGTCGCCCTGGATACTGAGGGCCTGTTGGGGGCCGCAGCCAATCAGAACCAGAGGATGCGGCTGCTGCTAAAGGTAATTTTAGTGGTCGCTTGTTGCTTTTGTTGTAATTAACGGATAGCTGGATGTGTTCACACAACGTACAGTTTAAATTTCCAATTCACATTTTGACCATGGT